ATGAATTAATTCTTTCATGCCTTTTTGGTCTTAATTATTAACCTCCTTAACTTTAAGGCTGTTCAACTTTTAAACTTGATTAGCAATAATAAACTTAACTTGTACGGCGATCTGTGGTGAACTTTATTTAGTCGGCTAGGAAGACAGATTTTAATGAAGCAAAACACATCAGAGGTCATTCATAACCTTTGATAAACAGCTTCCTTATAGCTAGAAAAACTGGGTTTCATATGTTTAAATACAGTGCAGCATTGTTTCTTATGTAGACGAAATATAACCGTAAGTGATCAAGTTATATATACATCCGCATACCATTGCACAGAAGCTCATCCAACTACACTTTGCATAGCTGATAAGTACACGGTATTTGTTACGTATTTTATAAACATGGTTGAAGCAATAAAGGGATTAAATGAAGCTATCCCGTGAGCTGGATATCTCATTTTTTTTCACAAATTAAAATACAATCGTAAACTATACGTGGTCTAAACAAGGAAAAGTCGTAAACGAAATGAACTCTCATGATGCCACACTGCGAAGAATGTCAGAAAAACTAGCTGAGATTGAATTCAGAAGAAGAAAGACAGGGAAAACCATACAAGACTGATGTAAACAAAATTGTCAAATATTCGTAAGTTGATGGTATTTCATTCCGGTAGATGCCAAACTGAAGCAGAATTAATGGTGATCGTTATAGAAGTTATAAGCACAGACTGATAATTTTACCGGAGTTGTGATGTGACAAGAGATAGTGTCAATGCAAAAATGATAAGTAGACGCCGTTCGCCTGTGGAAATATCAACACAATCAGTCGACTGCATTCAAATGGCAACCATCATTGTCAATAAATGCCATTCTCATCCCCTCTGTTACTTCATTCAAATGCTGAACCGTGATTTGACTAATCAGTCTAAAGTCTTCATTCCTAACTGATAAGTATATGTAGTAGTTGGGGGAAATGATGCTTCGAATGAAGACCACAAATCAGTATTCTCAATCAGTCACCTTCCGAGAAGAGAGAGTCATCCAATTTTAGAGATTGTCCTTGTGTGAACGTGACAGACGTGGAGGCCATTCACTAATTATTCGTACTTGTAATATACTCACAAATACAAGACCAAGGAAGAACACAATAGCGTAGTTAGATGGAATAGTGTATTTGCGAGGTCGTGCCAAAATGCCGATACATTCCGACTAGCTGGTTAGAGGATCGACTGCGAGGAGTGCAACGTGACAAGACAGCGTGCCAAATGGCGTGGATGCTTGAAGAACGTGTATCAATAAAAACTATGGAGGTCAGCATCAGTGTTGCATTTCATGGAACCGTAGGCTATTGATTTTGGGGAATTGTGTGCCGCTACACACTTATATCTCCATCCTCCATATTGATAAGTGATATACATCAAGGTATATAATTTATCCCACCTTCTCCTTCCACTGAACCACTCCTCTCCACCTCACCAACAACCAGACTCACATAAGACCTCTACTCTGAAATCTCATCTATGTCGTACTTATCATCGATGATATACAGGAGTAAAGGTGAGATCGATCGATCATATCACCTGGTCATATACTTGAGGAGACAAATGGAGACTCCTACATTCAAATCTACTTACCTCTTCATAATCTGATCACTGTCCTCATCTCACATCTCTTTGTATGCATGCAACCATCTGATGGAATGTCATATTTAATTATGCAATAATCACATCATTGAGTGAGTGACACATATATATGTGTGTGTATACACGTGTTATATTCCCTGTCGACACACAGTGAATCTATTTAGCCCAACCGAGTGCTGCAGTCAACTGTGTATCACAGTACCTGTGTGATCGATATCTGTCGAGATATTCACAGTGGACGGACGATCAGCTTGCTCGCAGTGTCGACGACAAGAGATGAGTATCAAAACCATGATGAAGTTGACCTCCTTTATTGTTCAATAAGTGATATGAGTGACAAGCTGAAGCTTATTAGAGCATCGGGCGTAACAGAGGATTGATTGAACACTAGTCTGCATGATCGTGTCATCCTCCAGTCTTCATAGTATTTTCAAGTGGCGAGTATCCCTACCGACCTTTATGTTGAAATGACAAAGTCGATCGACAAGTGAGAAAATCAACGTAGAATCTCGCACACTGGTGCATCAACTCAAGTTACCACATTTCACAGAAGTGAGAATAGGTGGAGAGAATAATAATGACATCAAAGTGGGTAAAGTTGTGTGAGAAAATAAACAACCTGAGAATGAATGTTAGTGTGAATATTCATGAATCAGAGGACGTCAAAGAATGAATACTTCTGAGCCTATGTGACGGATTTTCAGTCATGTCATCTAGAGTGCTCAATCACTGGTTCCTATCGTCTCGGAAACCTCAACCACTCAGTATGCATCGCACCACACAACTCAAACCAAGAGTTAGGAACTTCATCGACTAGTTCCACATCTTGGTCGCGTCACCCTCGACCTTCTTTTAATTGAATCCTACTTCTTCTAGTATGATGTGTTAAGGTAAGCGGAAGCTTGGCATGCACAGTACATGTCCAAGTCATGTTAGTCGACTAAGATTCACAACCTCATCAATCGGCTAGCCTATTACCTTTCACCTGACCTCAACATTGTTCACACGGGGTGATTCCACCAAAAGCTAGGAATGCTATGTAAGCTCACCTGTAACTGCTTTAATCCAGGTCTAAACTAAGAACAATCACTTGTTGCTGAAATCAGATAAATATAACTATAATTTAAGTAGTACATAAATACACCCACAGTTATCAGTAATTATTTATCAAAAAATAGAGAAATTTATAGCCAACATCGTAATATGAAATTCAGGCGAAAGTGAACATTGACGATTTCATTTCTTCGTCATAGTCAAATAATGTGTAAGTGTATAACAAACACTGTATCCTATTTGTTTCTCATAGCAATCTAACACACGCTAAATCAATGATACGTGATAGCGCATAACATTTTTATTAAATATAACTTAATAATTCATTCGAGCATTGAATAAGAGAAGACAAAAAGTAGTCGATAAATTTCTGTTTGTTTGAATGATACAATTATAATATTTATGAAGATGGATAAAAATCACAGCAGGTGTTGTCTGATTAACATAAATTTAAAACGAATTGAACATTGACAAGAAAAGTAAAACAAGCTTATAATGATAATAGTAATAATAATAATAATCAGACATACACGTGTTTAGATACATAATTAGCATATATTTGATCTTGTGTCCAAAATTAAGTACACTTTGAAAGCACTAATTCAGTGGAGAAGCGAAAATTGAATCCCACATAGTAGTTTTGTTTTAGGTAGTGAATCTAACTTTACTATATACACCTAGAAAACTTCATGAAGGGAAGACAGTCTTCATGTCATTTCTCCGAAGAAGCGACCTTATGCATGTAATGCTACCAGTGTAATAAAAGGAATTACTATGTATCAGAAGGTTAACCGATGCTGGTGAAACGAACCACCTATACAGGTAAATAGCGCTCAGTCAGTTTGCATAAATCTTTTAAGTAGTTTATACTGTCTAAGAGTTAAATACTTAGGTGAGATTATTAGGAGTTGGCGCTCACAAGTAATTAGTGACATGCTCCAATCTATGAACCGCCTTTGGAGTCTTCACAGTCTGTGAATACCAGATTTAATGTTCAATGTGTTGTATCAATCAGCCAAAAATGTGAATCTCAGATGAGTGTCACTGTTTGTTTTACTTATGAACGAATTGGTAACACTGCTGTAGAGCTTTAGATTAATCCGTCATCAGTTTCTGTATGACCTATATTTCGGAAACAACTGTATGTTGAGTGAAACGCCTTTGTTATTCATCAACCAATATTCTGTGCTTGAAATCAATTGCTTCATTTTATTATGAGCTATGGTGCATTGTGCTAAAGTAATTCAGCGATATATATATATATATATATATATATATATATATATATATATATATATATATATATATATATATATAATATGTATAGGGAGAGAGAGATGGATGAAATCACCTTGAAATATACGGATAAGTACAAGACTGTTGTACACGGTTGGTATGGGGGGATCGTGTGACTCATTGTGTAGATGGAGCGAGTGTACGAGACTGGGCAAGTACACACGAGACCAAGCGCGTTCAAAGTCAGAACTAATACTGGATAAGACAGATCAGGTGCTCAAGTCAATTGTAGTCAGTTATAAATCAATGCTACAGCATAGACAGTTTCGCTCACTACCTATGAGGCCCGACCTTTCTATGCTCAAGATGTACGATCACCACTGTCTCCCATAGAAGCATCATGTGAGTGACCCTGAGACATGACAGTGTGTGTTTAGTCATGAAACAAATTGTCATTATGATTCACACCAACTGCGGGTAAGCTAACGAAGATCAATAGAGACTTGTATACGCGATAAGATTTCGTTGGTCATTAACTTACCGAGTCTAGTTCAACTTCTTAAGTAAATCCAGTGGTCAATGCCCTTAACTACTTCACTCCCTATTGTTAAACGGGACATAAAAGCGGACTAGTCCTGGAGCAACAATTTTTATTTGAATGGTGACAAACACATGCTAAGCACCATCAAATTAGTTGGTTGGAGGCAATCAGCAAGATGCCCTGGACCTAGTTTCGTGCTTTTTGGCACTCGGCAGCAAGGCGTATCTGAAACCTACACGGAACTGATGTCCCGCTAGAGATTCGAACCCGCGTCACCCAGTGTTGTAGTCAGCGACTTTACCACTGAGCTGTTCGGGCCGCGATTTATCTCCTGTAGGACTGGCTTACATGTATTGATTGGTCACGGGAGTGCACTCAGGACTAGACAACATCAATCAATATAAGCACCATCAAATTGCTACTCATGGTGTCCAGGAGACTTTGTTTCTTTACTTAACAGGATTATGCCACCTGTGTACTCTAGACCTTCAAAGGTCTCTCCTATGACTCGGTCTATCCCCATAAAGTCAGATGAGGTGACAGGGGAACCTCCACTCTGACTACTCACACATCAAAATAACCGAGGTTTGATTCAAACCCATAACCCGATGGTTTTAGGGGAACCAGAAGGAAACAACATTGCTAGACAGTTGTGTAAATGCTATATTACATAAAAGCAGTAAGCAAAGAGTTGATGTAAGTGTAAATCTTTGGCATTTTGGTAGAGTTTAATTCTACATTAAATTGTCTATTTGATATGTCACATAATGATGAAGTTTATAATAATGGATGACTTTTCGAGCAAAATTTATTGCTCATACTTGTTATGCAAATGAGCCATAAATTCTGTTCGAAACGTCATCTGGTAAATTATACTGCATTAATGTGTGCTATATCAATCAAATAAATAAACTAAAATGTAACAAAGAGTTGATTATCGTTTTAAATGATAAAAGTAATAATTAACAAAAGAAACACTGTTGTGATCAGTAAAAAAAAAAACAACTGAAAATATGTATGTTTATGATGATAGCAGACTGCTTCATATACAAAAAAGCCGAACGATAATAGTTGCAGAGAAACACAAATGAATAGAATAGTTCTCCAATTCACCTGTTGACAACAACCAGTTATCTAACGATAAAAATAATCAACAAATGAGACATGAAATGTATTACAAAAGGGAAGGAAAAAAACAAAAAACAAAATTACTTATCAAGAAATTTCAATTAGTATTCATATCGATGATTCTTGACTGATACTCGATGTTTTACGTTTAATCAACGTAGACGTTTTAGTAGTTAACAATTGGCGTACATCTGTTTCAGCTAATATTGCCGTTGCTGAAAGTGATTTATGATGTCCATTAATATAGGGCGAAGAAGGTGAAGAAGAAGAAGACGAAGAATGATATCGATGAGGAAGTGAATGAAATTCATTCGATATACTATGATGATGACTAGAAATTGTTAATGATAATGCTGAAGAATTTGATAGGGAACGATTAAGTTTTTTGCGTAATTGTCTGTGAAATGATGAGATGGAATGTTTTTTAAGCTTTCCATTACTACCGTTTCCTTCTTCTGTAAATAATGGCTCAGACGGTGGAGGCAATAAGGATAAAAGTAATTTCAATGAATGAAAATCTGGTGATTGATTTGATGTTTTCGACTTCTAATGAATTATACAAGAGGAAAAGAAAAAGCATAATGAAATATATACTTTTACAATTGTTGCATATATGTACTCGATTACAAAAACTTTAATATCAAGGCAGCAAAACAAAAGTACTCTACATGAGATAATAAACGAAAACCAAAGTGAGTGTGCTGAGTTCTAGATCACCGAAAATGTCGTTTCAGAAGTAGTGCATAAATTCTATTGACCAAGAGTGTAATGTGGTCACCAGACCAGGATACTCACAATCACGGTGTACTTCACTGGCTTAAAGTGATAAAAGGTAATCATAGGAACCAGTTTTGGAGCTGTTTAATATTCGTCAGTGAGGTGTATACACAAGATTGAGGGATTTGATGCTACCTAAAAAATTAATAGATGACACCACTGAGGTAACCTCGCCCGGTTAACTAGTTCACTAGGCACTAGCTAGTCCTGGTCCTTGGATAAAAAGGGATGGTTGGGTATGGCGCTAGCAACCCTACCCCGGAAAACAAATCTAACCGCTAAAAAACTTCAAAGGACAAACAAAATATCAAAAATAAAAACAAAATTATTCCTTGCTGGAATCGCAGAGACGAAATGACACCAGTTGGTGAAAGCCTTCGAGAAGCCAATTGACCGATGTGTCTTCTCCCTCTAGATGAAAGTGAAAGTAAACATGGGGACATGGAATGTCTGCATCATGTATGAACCAAGCAAGGCTGTCCAGATTACCAAAGAGATGAGAAGGTATAGCATTGAAGTGCTAGGAATCTGCAAGGAATAAGCAGATGGAATGGAAGTGGACTCTCCAAACTGTCAACTAGAGAGTCAATAATCTACTCCCATATTGTCACCCTGACGATAACCACGAGCACACTGAGTTTCCGAGTGGCTATCATCATGTCCCTAAGAGTATCGAAGGCTCACTCTCATGCAGTGGGAACCAATCTCCTCTAGCATCAGGTCCATGACAGCAAGCTTCAACTCAAAAGGAAGGAAAATCACAATCATTCAATGCTACGCTACGTACCTACAAATAATGCCGATCAAGAGAAGAAAGAAGAATTCTATCGACAACTGCAATCAACACTGGACAAGATACCACTCCACTTGGCGACATCATAATTCTAATGGGCGACATGAATGCCACATTGGGAGTGGACAACACAGGAAAAGAAGTAACCATGGGTCGAGAAGCACTCGGCGAAGTGATGAACGAGAATGCAGAACCATTTGCAGATTTCTGTGCATTCAACGATTCGGTGATTGGAGGCATTGTGTACAAACACAAGAATATCCACAAAGCGAGCGACATGGATTTCACCAAACACCAGGACACACTACACTAAAAATCAGATCGACTTCATCTCAATGTGAAGAAAGTGGAGACGCAGTCAGCCTACTCGACACAAGATCAGATCAAGAAGAGTAGCAGATGTAGGTTCACACCACTCACTATCTAGTACAAGGAACCTACCTTGAAAATCAAGTTGAAAGCCTTCAAAGAAGCTGGTGATAGATAGACCACAGTTCAATTTGAACACCCAGAACAGAAACTGCACTGAAGGACGAAACTACAAAGGATATCTTCACATCAGCCACCAAGACAAAATGGGAGACATTGAGCAACATCCCTGAAGAAACCTGTATGGAAGAATACTGGAACTCTTTGAAAGCGATGTGGAAAGAAACCTGCATAACCGTATTAGGAAGGAAGAGGAAACAAGACAAGGAATGGATCTCCACGGACACATGGAAGCTGATAGAGGAGGGAGAGGAGGATGGTGAAGCAGAAGATAAACCGATGGGCAAGGATGCACAACGAAAAAAAGAACTGAGTACAACCTATCAAACACTACACTGGACAAAGAAGTGACGGAGAGTGCGCGCGAAGACTAAAGACACTTCTACGACACACTGGCAAGTGAAGCAGAACAGGCTGCTGCTGGTAGGAGAGACCTGACAACATTATATCAAATAACCAGGTTATTATCTGGGAGGGAAGAGATCAACACAGACAAAACCAATGAAAGATAGTGAGGGAAACTTAGTTACCAAAGAGGAGAAACACAGGAAACGAATGGTTGACCACTTCAAAAAACTATTGAATCGACCACCACCTGCAACTCGTCCAGAAATACCACCAGCAACGGCAGAATTACAAGTGAACAGAGGCCCTCCGACAAAAGCAGAAGTCCTGAATGCCATGAAGTTGCTGAAATCTCGGAAAACAGCAGAACCAGATGGAATTCCACCAGAAGCACTGAGAACAGTCTCAGAGACAATGGCGGACAACATCATCAACAACAACCATCAACTACCATCAACGGGAGAAATCTGAAGGAAGTTGTCTCTTTCACCTACCCACCTACCTAGGCACCATCGTTTCAACTACAGGTGGCACAGGCACAGATGAGGACGTCAAAGTCAGTCAGGATCGGAAAGACAACAAGACAGGCCTTCATTAATCTGAAATCACTGTCGAGATCGACTGCACTCCACTCCACTCCACTCAGCAGAAAGTGTCAACAACATCCGGATTTTCAACACTAATCTCAGTCAAGTAACTCTGTGCTTCTATGTGATGGTTCACAGACTTGGTGAGTTACGAAAAGCATTTCCAACAAACTACAGACACACATCACATCAACAGCTACCACCTACGCTCACTCGATACTGACACTGAGGATTAGATGGTCAGAATGAATAATAATAATAATAATAATAATAATAATAATAATAATAATAATAATAAGTAACAAGGAACTCTGGCTGGACTAGGAACCAACCAAGAGCCTATCGCCCAACAAATATGCATAAGAAAGTGGAGATGGATTGGATGGGACATACACTGAGAAGACCGTTTGGGGACATCACGCGCCAGGCCAGGCCCTCGAGTGGAACACGAAGGGGAAACGACGAGTTGGGTGTCCGTGGCAAGGGTGACATGGAGGAGATCATGTGAGGAAGAAATGAAAGCATGTGGGCAGTGGTGGAGCCAGGTTTTGAAGACTGTGGAGAAGAGAGTGAAATGGAGACGTGCTACTGAAGCCCTATGTTCCACTAGAAACCCAAGGGGAAAATAATAATAATAATAACCACTGAGGAATTCAAGCTGCAATTTACTTCATGTAAGACTGGGTTAAAGTTATTAGCCGGTCAATAGAGAGTAACCGATGAAAATACACTTTTCTCATGACTGACAACAAGTACAAAGTCTACGTCAAGCGGAGGGTACTAACGATTCTGTACACTCACCCATAACATAGATAAGCATCTATACTTTTCCGTATTATGTACAGAAATAATTTCACCTAGCAGACAGTAACATCGATTCCAGCAATTTACATAAGTAAACAATATTGTCATTAGTTACAATGGGATTTGATATGTAAAGCAGTCAGTCAGTATATATCAACATATACCTCACATTACTGCAAGATGGTTCAAGTTGCTACACCTCGCAACGATACATATCAAACTTGGAGGCATCAAGATGAAAGATACAGAAATAAGAAAGAAGGTAGTCAAAGTGGTGGAATTAATGATGGATGGTGGCTATCAGGGGAATCAAGGATGCGCGTTCCACCCTATTTAGGACTTGTTATCTTGATTGATCTGCCTCTCAGTGAGAGATATCAAATAGAATGATGGAGTGTTGTGAAAAACGAACAAGAAGAAGTAAGACAAAGGGCAGCTAACGTTATAGCGTTAACAGTAGGAGATCCGAGAGGCGGGACGGTAGTGTGAAAGTAGTTAGGTATTCCCTACAGAAGACCAGTAGTCTATGTTGATGCAGCTCTCCCTAACAAAAAATAGGGCGTCTAGAAAAGGTCAGTCCCGAAAATAGCACATTCTCTTCTAGTCTGTGGTCGTCTCATGCCTGCGGTATGGACTATTCTATCTGAGACGTAACACAATCAATTCTAAATTGAAAACTGTCGAAAAGGCTGTGTGGATGATTTAAAGCAGATGTTTTGTGTTCTGCAGCCACTCAAAAATAATCCATTATCATTTCCAGTTACCTTAAAAAGGAAGCAACGTTCCATGGTGTCGACAGCCAGGATGTTTCAACCATATTTATATTTCTATCAGCATTCAAGTTCCCTTAGATTATTACCAAACATTTCAGCACGATATAGTGTATAATAGATTACAGTGACTCAGATACATTTATGCTTTTTGTCTTATGACTGTCTACAACTTCTGATAGCACTATTCTGGTATCTTTTTGTGATAATTTGTGACTATTCAGATAGACATCAGATGCATACATTATTGAGTGATGCCTAAAAAGTTACTAGACGTGTTTGCATGTGTAACCCCATTCTCATTGGTTATTCGTACTCTATGCTGCAAAAAAATAGTAATACAATCCTATTGGTTATCTTTTAAACACTACTTAGTCTACGATAATGAGAGTATGTTACTGCAAATGGAGCTATTTAATATCGTGTAACTGATCTGTTTGGTGGTAGAAATTCGGTGAACTCTTTGACTGAACTTTTAAGAATACTTGAAATATGCTCACTACAACTACAATTCTAATTTTTGTTCTCACTGCGTCATTCAAAATCACTAATTTTAGTTAATCCTATCTGACGATAATAAGTTCCTTATTCGATTTCCAAAACAGCACACTTCCATCTTCTTACTTTTGAACTTGATATGTTGATGTGAAGTATAACAGTGTGAACCGCAATGGAGTGGATAACGGGTCCTACGTTCATAGTATTCAACTTCCTCAATGAGTATGAAATGAGATGAAAATTTTCTTTTCACAAAAAGATATGCGCTCAGTAAGGTAGTTAACAATGAATATGAATTGTGACTAAACAATATGTCGTACGTTGATATCAATGACCGATAGTGGCTACCAGTAGAATTCAAGACGCGTGTTCCGTCCAATTTGTGACTCATCAGCTGGATTTACCTGCCTCCCAGGGAGTGATGTTTTTCTCACTAAGGCTTAAACCTAGGACCATAGAGTCACAACAGCTACCCCTTGTGCAACAAGCATAGCATGGTTTTGATGTCCTAATTTTAGTGAGAATAATGTCACTAACTGGGAGGCAAGTACATCCAATCCATGAATCTCAGATCGAACAAAACGCACGTAATGGATTCCACCACTAACGACTACCCATCATTCATATGAAAATTAAAAAAACAGGCAATATTGAGGCATCTGCACAGGAGTCCACGTGTCAATAGTGATCAATCACTTCGGTCCAGTCAACAACGGAAACTTACAAGCTATAAACATCAAAATGCATTGGCTTATTTAAAATTGTAAGAAGGAAATCCAGTTTAAATGTACTTTATTTTAACTGATGAAATATTCTCGAAAAGAGAAATCAAAAGTATGAAGGAGAAGTAAAATGATCTGCTTTGGTGTGTGTTTACGCGTACTCATGTGCACACCAGCATAAGAAACATAAAATGAAAGGCACAGACAGATGATATTTTCACTCAGTATAGCTTGGAAACTTACCTTTCTCAGACTGACTACGAAGTTTGTACATTTAGAGCTAAAGTAAGAAGTAAATATAGACAGATTGGGTGGATGAGTTTTGTTATGGCTGAAGTGTTTTTAAACGATAGAGAGTATTAATGTAGATGGATGAGAGATTATTATATGGGGCTTAAATCAAAACACTTGAGATCAAGTATGGAATAGGAAGACAGAGATAGAGGAGGGATGGGAGGAAAACACGATGAAATTGATCAATACTATATAGAATAATATGATTTATTTGTAGGAAAGAAACAAAATTAATTTCTTAAAATTTTATAACTGAAAAGTGTCGACTAAAAATTATCATATCTGTTAAGTACGTCAAATACAATGTCTCAGCAAAAATGTAACTAAGCCTAACATGACTGAAAAATCCTCAATCTGTGGAAATGAAGCGTAGGCATCATGAACAACGCTGACAACTATAAACTGGTAAATAGAAAACTGGACAACTATTTCTTCCTAGTTTGGAACTCCTCAGTAGTGCGTTCCCTGGCGGGGTCATGACCAGTCTATGGTGAATACAAACCAGAAATCGATAAGTGCCCACAAACCTCGGGAGTGAAATAGAAAACTGTCTACTACCTCCTGATTTTGGTATTAACTGTTGACCTGTGTTGAAGGTTCGTAACTCGAACACCTGTGGGTGTTACAGTCTATAACGAGTTGTCAGGTGATCTGTGTACACCAAGTGGTGTCCATCACGGATACCCTCTCTGTCCGTTCCTGTCCAATTTTTACATAGATGTTCTTATGAAGGTCTGCCTCTCGCCAGCCGACTACACAGGGATTGATCTTATCATCAGAGAATTTTTGGCAGATCTAGATGACATAGTCCCGTTAAGTGAAGACGCTGACAAGATGAAGAGTCTTCTGGACACTTTGAGTGGCATTTTGAGAATTTTTAGGATGTGTTTCTCACCATTCGAATGTAAACTGTTGCCCCAGGAGCGGTCTTCAGTGGTGCCGCAGACAACAACATAGAGCAAAGCGATAGAGCGCATTTAGCACTCCACTCATCTGGAAAGTCAGATTAGACCTGACCAACAAAATCTCTGCATGAATACGAAAGGCCCGATTGGATTTCGCCAATCTAAACCATCTGTGCCGCCGACGGGGTATCTATTTGTTTATTAACAATCGAGTGTATTGTGATCCAGTTCGCTCTGTTCTGCTCTAAGGTTGTGAAATATAACCCCAGTTACCTTCCTACCATAGACCGTATGTCTTGCTGTCACCACGTCGGTAACGTAGAAATAAGGAGTAGAGTTTTTGGGAAAAGTGGGAAGTCAGTTGGTAAAGTCGTGAACCTTCATCAACTCCAGATGGCTGGGATATGTGTTACACATATCTAGTCGCTGTCTGCCTCATCGCACAATGTTGCTTGAAGAAGGTTCAGGCTGAAAAACGGCTGGGAGCAGTCAGGTTAAAACACTGCATGAAGTCGGACTAATGGTTTGAGCAATGTTGGGATCCATGTGACAACAGAAATCAGTGGTTGGAGACTCTACGTGACATAGCTTAGAATCAATGTCGATGACCCAGATGAATTAACAATTTATCTTCATCTTGACAGCTATACTAAATTCATCAATTTTTCATTCTTCCTTCCTTTCTTTAACTGCTTTCTACTGATTTCGAACAGTTTTCCTCTTGATTCGTCTCTCATCTTACTAATTTGTTTATCGGAATGCTCATAAGACATGTATCAATTTGAACTAATGTGTATTAATGTATGGATCTATATTGATATTGATTGACTGACTAGATGGCACGAAGGAGTACTAGAACTAAATTTAAGGTTTTCTGGTATTTAACAACATGATGTTCATGAAGCTTTGAGAAAAATAGAGTTTTCTAGAAGACTAGTGTCAACGAGTACGAACTGCGCCTGCTGTAAGACTTGCTAACTGAATCTTGACAGTGTCCGTAAGTATGGTAAGTGCCTTGCACCATCGAAGTACAAAATACCTTCACAGGATTGACAGGAGCCTGTGCCTGCGCTCACCCTTGTTGGTAAGCCGTTGGAAGTAGTTGAAACGTTCATGTATTACATACCGGAAGCCAAACTGGCATACGTCAAAACGTCAGTCTTGGCCACCTTTGGCATTACAAAGTGTGGTCTCTCACAAAAAGGGTATCATCAACTAACGAAATACAGCACTGAACAACATGGGAAGCTGGAAACCACTTAGGCTCCGTAATTATGGTATGTGCTTTGTACCAATGAAATGAAAACTACTTTTGCGAGATTAAGAGAAGTCTGTGTCTGCTCTCACCCTCTCACCCTTTGGAAGTAGTTGAAGCGATCGTGTAACTAGGGTGTTGTATCAGTGCTGGTGGAGGTGTGAGTGGGGGACATTTCCAATCGCATATCGAAAGGCAAACTGGTACACGTCGATTCTATCCACCTTTCGTACTGTCGCGATGTTAGTCTGATCGTAAAAGGTTGGGCTTACAACACTTCGAATAGTTCTGCTCTACGCCGGAGAAACCTGGCCTTTCCGAGCTGAGGGTGTGCAAAGACTCCGTGTGTTTGATCACTGTTGTCACCGTAGAATTTCTGGTATCCGGTTGCAACATCATGTTAGTAATTCCGAGATACGACGATGCATGTTTGGGCATGATGGAGATCGTCATTCAATAAGTATAGTCGTCTGGAAACACTGTCTTCAGTAGATTGGACGTGCTATGCATATCGTCACAACGGTTTCTATACAGCCTATTGTTTTCTAGCCCTGGGACTGGATAGAAGAAGTGGGAGCGGGGTGGTCAGTGTATAACGTGGTACCGTGAAATGAGGGATAGTTGTATCGGGTTAGCATCAATTGATGCATCACGACTCCCTGGATGGAGTCCGAGAGGTAAGGCAACTCAGTGACTTCAGACGTTATCACATACGGCTCAGAATAGAAACCAGGGGCGGTTATGCTGTAGCTTCCTTCTATCCTCTCCTGCTGAAAAGTGATGAGTGTTTTGTTTCGAATGTATCTTACTGAACTGTCTTTCTAAACATGTTGTTCTTATTGTTTATCTTTCTTACTTATCCATTTCCCATCACTTCATGTCTTCATAATGTTGGTATACTATTTTGAGTGGCTCATTTCTTGGTGCCCTTGCTGTACCATCTTTGTGTTCTAATAACAAATAATAATAATAATAATTACAGTCAATCATGTGTACCGCCGCAGTACCACATTAATTGGGTCAGTGATTACATGGTAAGGCTGATAGACAGATTTTGACCAGTAGGTGAGAAAGCCATATATCCCTGAAGTCTTTTACAACCAATCTGATATTTACACGTCGGTTTAGGTGCTTTCTCTCGAAACTTCGATGCAAAACGATTGGTTGTAAAAAGTTTCAGGGGTTTATGGGTCATTACGAAGAATTTGGTCATCTTATTCCACAATATAACAGTAAGTCAATCGACGAAGTTTCGAACTTGCACTAAGACAAATAGGACATGTATAATATGTACTGAACAATTGATTGCTTCTATGTAAGTTAGGGTTATCAAACAAAGATAAGACACCAATCGCCTGAAGCCATTGACCGTTCGTGGCAAATATATGCTTACGTATAGGCTATCTGTATGCTAAACACCAAAGATTACAAGGACTAAAATTATTCATATTAGTACAGTTGTGTTCATCCTCAATACAAACGATGTAGCTTATTGGTATGGCACCTGGCTATGAGATGGTGGGTTAAGGGTTCAAACCTTACTATATCTATTGCGGATTCAGGATATAGGCTGGTGTATGGATCTGCAAACGGTTAGTGAAAGGCGTTGAAAATGAAGTGATAAAATGTGTTAGGTTACTTTCAAAAGTTGAACAAAATTGCCAGGGATATTCGATACTAATGAGTGATGAATAGGGGCTAGTAGTGGAAAGCAGGTGCATTTCACTCAATATGCGACTCACCAGCTGGATGTGCCTACCTCACAGTGAGTGACGTTGTTTCCACTAAAACTCGAATCCACGACCAGTCGTTTCAAATTTCAGTGTTATCCACTGGGTCTCAGAGTCATAATAGCCACTCCTTGCATGACATATATAGTACAGTTTTTATGGGGAAAATATCATCAACTGGGAGGCAGGTACATCCAGCTCATGAATCTCAGACCGAACAAAACACATGTAATGGATTCCACTACTACCCACCACCACCCATCATTCATATGAAAATTAAAAATACAGGCAATATCGAGGCATCCACAAAGGAGTTCATATGCCAACAGTAACTGATTACTTCGGTTCAGTCCCCGACGGAGATTTTAGTAAAGAAGAAACTGGTCGTAAATCGATTTACAGTCCAAACACTCAATCCACCTTTAGAATTTGGTGGTTACTTCTCATTCCCTGCAATCTATTCAGTGAATGTCTAAATTATCCTATAGCTTCAAGGTGCTATTCTGCTATATTCAACTGTAAATGTAAAAATAACGATGACACGGTTTTACTATTTTAATACATGCTTGAAAAGTGAACAGAAAGATATAGAGAGAAAACAGAAGCTCAAATGATGCATCTACTGGTTGGCGAATGCAAACTCGTAAGCGACTAAGCCGTGAAACCAATGATATAAACCATTTTCTCTCATCAACTGATCACATTTCACAAACCATTCTGTGTTAAAAGGGTGAATTTTGCGAAGAGCATTTAGTCAGACCTCATACATTTATCTCGTTTCAATCATAATGGTATTCTAATGAGACAAACAGATAGAATCAATGTAGAACCTTACACACAGGCGCATCGGTTCAAGTTGCCACACTTCACAGCACCATACATAGAACAACAGGATAGAAAAAGACTGATATCAAATTAAACAAAGTTGTATGAGAAGGAGAAAAATCTGATAGTAAAGATTACTGTGAATATTTAAGAATTAGAAGACCTCAAAGAACGAATACATCTGAGCCTATGTGACCGATTTTCAGCCATGTCATCTAGAGTGCTCAATCACTGGTTCCTATCGTCTCGGGAACCTCAACCACTCAGTCTACATAGCACCATACAACTCGGACCAAGAGTTAGGAACTTCATCGACTAGTCCCGTGTCTTGATCCGTCACCCTCGACCTTCTTTTAACCTAATCCAACTTCCTCTAGTATAACACGTTAAGGTAGGCGGTGGCTTGGCATGCGCAGTAGATGTCAAAACCATGTCAGTCGACTAAGGTTAAAAACTTAATCAATCGACTTGTCTGTCTTGCCTAGCACCCATCACCTGACCTCAACATTGGTCACATACAGGTGATTCCACCAAACTCGAGCAATGCTACGAAAATACCTAAAATCAAAACCCTGTAGCCGCTTCATGTCTTCCTATTTCAACGACCATGTCTCACAGCTGTTTAACAGGACATAACTGGTCAATCATTGTTTGATCAGAATCTGGTATACTGTTAACAATGAGGCAAAGAAATGGCTTCTTAAACGATAGCTGATCACCATACTCAAAAATGCTTGTTTATGTACACTTTTTATTTGTGTTATCCAAGTTTCATTGCTCTAGGTAATCAACTCTTAACCAGTGGGTCGGTGATGGGGTTCAAACACCGCTTCATTTACCGAGGTTTGGGCAAAAATGATATTTTCACACACTGTGTTATGGTTAACTGTCTAATACACGAACCTGTATGTGGTTGCCGCTATGGCTAAGTTCATAGAGTTACCCCACTTGTGCGAACAGAACACTACATCTCATCCTCAGAGTTTTGTTACATATTTTATAGACAGTATATTAATGCTAATTCCGTTCCAATACAAAGGTAATATAAGAGAACCTGGAAAAAACAACGGTTAGTTCAATAGGGAAATGTCTTTTTCTGTACTGCCAGACGGAACATGGATTTTCTTCAGGCCACATGCAAGCCCCTTACAATTTGCTGTCTATGGAAAAACATATAACGACAGGATGCAAAAGTTTATGGCTACGCTTAAAAAAAGCCGAGCATTACTACCAAGTAAGGAAATGGTAGATATATATGTACACTTCACTTACGCTATGCCCAGGAATAGAGGATCGATAGTCCAGTGAATACGATTTACGACAGTGGCAGTTCGTTGTTGAGGAATCCCCACTGCCACTAAACTCTGATGAACCTGAGGAATCAAATGGTCCAATGTCACAACTTCGACAACAAACCGTTGTCATCGACCGCAGACCCTGTTCTCTGCGCAATGAGATTAGAGAGTCTAAACGTTGAACTAGGCGAATGTACGGGTGGTTGGTTGAATCAATGCGCGGTTGGTCATTTGAACTATCGTGTTGTCCTTCTTTTTGCACATTTGACTCTGTGGGAATTTTTTCACCACTATTTTTTATATTCCAATTCTGTGCAGCATCTGCAGCCGACTTCAAAATGCTTTCGAATACTGATGGGCGTCGATGTGTGTACTCACAACCACCACTACCACCACCATTTTGGCTGATCAGTTTCAGTGTGGATGTTCGATTTAAACTGTCGTGTTGTGTAAGATTGGATGGTGTACTGCGTTGTTTGAAATTCTCCATTCGTTTAACGGTGGTTGGAAGCATAGCTGGATACTTGAATTCAGAAGGTAATTCAGGAGCACTTCTCTTACTAGCAGTATCTTTATTGACAGTTAGAGAATCCTGAGAAGCATTGGCTGCCTTGAAGACGCTCACTGATAAACAATACAAGAACAACAAAATAGATCAAATACGCTGTAACAAAATCTTCGCAGTAAAACACCAAGTAAAGTACAATTCTAGTGCTCATTAGTGACTTGCTTCGAGATAAGATTCCAGAAGTTCTATTGAGAAGTTGTGACCAGTTGGGTCAACAAAGTCAAACATGAAGACAGTTCCCCAATGAGGCAACTGGATGGAAGTTGTATTACATGGGGAACTGACAGAAGTAGGAAGTGTGGGAAATTGGATTCCAACCCAGTGACTAAGTGATAAAGTGCTGGCCACTGAACCTGTAGGTCCTGAGTTCAAGACCTGGCGGGATCAAGAGTGTGTACTGCTGAGGAGTACCATACACCAGAACGAAACAGCTGCCCAGAGGTCTCACGTTTCTAACAGTTCTCCATGATGAACCTCAACCTAGAATACAGTTCTCAAGTTGGAAACCTCGTCGATTGACTTACTGTTATATTGTGGAATAAGATGACCAAATTCTTCGTAATGACCCATAAACCCCTGAAACTTTTTACAACCAATCGTTTTGCATCGAAGTTTCGAGAGAAAGCACCTAAACCGACGTGTAAATATCAGATTGGTTGTAAAAGACTTCAGGGATATATGGCTTTCTCACCTACTGGTCAAAATCTGTCTATCAGCCTTACCATGTAATCACTGACCCAATTAATGTGGTACTGCGGCGGTACACATGATTGACTGTAATTATTATTATTATTATTTGTTATTAGAACACAAAGATGGTACAGCAAGGGCACCAAGAAATGAGCCACTCAAAATAGTATACCAACATTATGAAGACATGAAGTGATGGGAAATGGATAAGTAAGAAAGATAAACAATAAGAACAACATGTTTAGAAAGACAGTTCAGTAAGATACATTCGAAACAAAACACTCATCACTTTTCAGCAGGAGAGGATAGAAGGAAGCTACAGCATAACCGCCCCTGGTTTCTATTCTGAGCCGTATGTGATAACGTCTGAAGTCACTGAGTTGCCTTACCTCTCGGACTCCATCCAGGGAGTCGTGATGCATCAATTGATGCTAACCCGATACAACTATCCCTCATTTCACGGTACCACGTTATACACTGACCACCCCGCTCCCACTTCTTCTATCCAGTCCCAGGGCTAGAAAACAATAGGCTGTATAGAAACCGTTGTGACGTATGCGTAACACATATGCAATCTAGAACAATATAATATTCTGATACCTTACAGTGTAACATCAGTCATTACACAACCTAGTTTACAGGAATAGTGAACAACTAATCAAAAAGAACTAAATTAAAATGAAACATCCCATTTTATTCGTTCAGTTTTGTGATCCGATTTCTAAATAAAGGTTATCTCAATATCACCTATTGGATAAGGAAACGAAAATATAAGACAGTAAAAAAATTTTCTCCCCTATCATTTCATTTGCTTAAACTGTACAATCTTATTTGTAAGTGCCAGAAGCAAATAACAGTCTGTTACTACTAATCAAAATATCTCATGATTACTACAAATTTAAGAAGTAGAATAAATAAATAAAATTATTTCCAAAAACTGAAGAAAAATTACTATTCTAATCATGGTAAGACTAACGAGTGTGTGAAGTACTTTTAAACCCAGTTTTAAGTGTTGTTAATCGCAAAAGATTCGGTTACACACAGACAACGCTGTCAAAAGTCTTTGGAATATTAGAGAAGCAGTCTGTAAATTAGTTTGAAGGAACTTCTAGGACGAAACAGATCTCCAAGAATAACAAAGTGTTCACACTAATTAAATATACAACAAGCAGATGCTACTTAATGCACTAGAATTCCGCGTCTAACCTCGTCATTGTTCACATGGTGATTCCAATACATCCAACATACATATGATCGAAAACCTGTAAACTCATCACATCTACTTTCGAAAACATCTTACAGTTGTACACCCAGAAATAAGCGAACTGGAGTGAAGTATACTCATCTTTTGATAGATGATCGGTTATTTTACTGACGCAGTAAATGGTGCACATTGTTGAATTCCAAAACTGGGCTTTTGTATCGATGCTAAGATTTTTCCAGTGATTAAACTGTTCGGATGGATACGACTCTTGAAGTAGATGAAGTGGTCAATACATTGTATCACGTTCTATCTTGTGAACATTCAAATAATGCTGAATTTCTCAGCTAACATGAATCAGTTAACTAACAGAATGAGGCAGAGTTAGTTCACTCGATACATCGATTTCAGTTGGTACATACACTAAGATGCGTACTCATCGCTCTAATCCATGGAGCGGACGGAGATCATGAGCTACATATGCGGTCAAAATTTATCTTATAAAAAAGTAGAAGACTCAAATCAAGGCAGAACAGACTACGGTTACCCTTTATTGCTACAGCCATGGGATAAAGGATAGTCAATGACATTTTTCTTCGACGCTTCTGGTTATTTAAATGTAACAATAACCAAAAGCACATCTCTTAATGATACATATGCTCATATAAAGTGCGAGTAAGTCTAGTAAAGTGATTCGGAATCGTTGCCAATGTAGCAGATGCATTCACACGTTATCTTCACCTTGATCACTATACTGAATTCATCACCTTTTCATCCTTCCTTCCTCTCTTTTATTGCTTTCTACTCGTCTTCTCTCTTCATCTCTTATCTTCCCACTTTTTTACTCGGTGTGCTGATATAAGATATGGTAACTTGAACCACTGTGTAGTAATGTCTGGTCCTATATTGATACCGACTGACTTAGTGTTTTATTACACTGATGTGTTACTACACTGAATGATGATTCTCATCAATTCACTGGTAAGTATTATGAAAGATGAACACACTTTGCGTACCAGAGATGAGAGGATTACAGCATAAACCCAAAATTGTAACCTTTCAACATTTCCTGAGCAGTACACCTTTATTTGGATAGCTGTACTACAAGTGTTTGATTAGAAAAAATCGGTTATTCGTTTTTCTTTCTTGAAGTAAGTCAATCGATGAGGTTGAAAACTTTCAACTGCCTTCAGTGGTTCAGACATATGTAATGTACGTATCGACATGGTACACTTATTGAAGCAGTTGGAAGACAGTTTAGGGTGGTCGAACCGAGAAAAGTCACCATTCCTCGTTGAAAACTCTGAATGACATGGTTTAGAAGCACGATGGCAGTACACATCAAAACTCATTATTTCCGGAGTTCCAGAAGAAAACACTGAACAAGGTAAGCTAGAACGTTAAGTGGGGGATTTAGAAAAGCTGAATCAGACATTATTTTGGAGAATAAATTTACTATCAGAGGTATGTATACCTAGTAACTTTGAAACAGTATAGACAGGCGGAAATTTTAAACAATAGCGTATGAATAAATGGAAGTCATTAAACGTGGTCATTGTGAGAAGTGTACCTACAAGAACACAAATTCCAATCATAGTGATCTGTCAATCAATATTAATGAGGGCGTGGATGATGCAATGACCGATAGCAATAGAAATCACTACTGTCCAGGCTAGCATTAGCATTTAACACCGACATTATGAATGACAGATAAGTAGTTACAATTAGTTTATTCTTTTTCCAAACACATTCTGTATTACAGTAAAAACGGAAGACAATCTAATTTCTTATGTAAAAGTAAGGAGAAGAAAGCAACACACAGAAACAGCTGAAATCTTTTATTTACGATTTGTTATAATTGACTAGCTCTCAACAGACAATCATAACACTTTATGTGGAGGCAGAGATTCTGTCCAGAGGCTTAAGACAAAGTAAGCACTCGTTTTAAGGAACAACTCATTCAACTTTTGACTTTAATCCAATAGGCAGAGGATAGAGAGATGGAAAAATCAACGAAGAACCTTGAAATTACCACAAATGACACTAGCATGGAAAGAAGAAGCAGGTAGAAAAGTAATATTATTAGGGCAGGCAGATGTGTGTGAGAGGAGAAAGAACAAAGAGAACGCTACTGAAAGTACTCAGGACTTTAGAAATGATAAACAGTGAATGTATGTGGGTCATTGTAACTGAGTTTCAGTCATGTCACTAAGGGTTTTCAACCATTGATTCCCATCATCTCGATGACCCCGACCAGGTGATCTACACCTCTCTACATGGCTCAGAACAAGAGCCAGAGACTTAGTGGATTGGTACCACGTCTTGGTCCATTCACACTCAGTCTTCTTCCAGTCTAATCCTGCCTCGACTAATGTCACACTTCGAGGTAGGCAGTGGGTCAGCATGCGCAACAAATGTACAAGCCATTTCAATTGGTGAAGGTTCACCAGGTACTTCATACCCAACCTCATCATGACTCATAATGATTCCAACATGATAAAAATGTTATGAAGAAACCTGTGGTCAAAAATTCAAAGGTATTACCTATCTTGTTCTTGCAGCCGTACAATAAAACAGAGATAGATAGATAGATAGCCGATTATTTCACCGGGGAGGTAAGTACGATACATTAGTAATCGCCGGACGAGCTTTTTCAATTCAAGTCAAAGCAGTGTAGTAGCCTTAGGAGTTGCTTATTCATGGATGCTAGTGATCAGGTGTGGTTCCAGACAATCGAGTCTCTTACTGATGGTCTAAGCTCTATCGTGCAATTTAGACTGCCTGGTTAAGGTCCAAGACAGGATTGAAATCAGTTGTTGAGAACTCTTGGTGACATGGCTGAAAATTGATCACAATGGCGCAGATGTATTCATTCTTTGACGTCCTCTAGAGCTTGAATATTTGCACTAAACTTTATCTTCGAATTGCTTCTTCTTTCATACAACTTTGTAAACTTTGACAACACTTTTTTTATTCACTTGTTCTTCGTATACTACTCCAAAGTATAACAACTTGAACCGATACGCTTGTGTGCGAGGGTCCCACATTGATTTAGTCTGTTTATCTGTATGGAAATGAACATCATTGGTATACATTTGAATTCTAGTGTTGGTAAGAGGAGATCAGAGTACCAAACAGATAATATTTTTAG